AAACGTATAAAGCACTATATAAATGCACTATATAAAACGTATAAAGCACTATATAAATGCACTATAAACGTATAAATCACTATATAAATGCACTATATAAAACGTATAAAGCACTATATAAATGCACTATAAATGTATAAAGCACTATACAAAACGTAAGTGCCAAATCGCAGAGCTGGTGCAAACATATCCACATCTCTACGATCAGATGCTTTCTGAACTGCTGTTTTCTACTTTTTACCTCTAAATGAATAACGACAACAGACTTTGCCGTGAGTATATCGGGGCCTTTGCACATGACAGCATTTTTATTTATTTTTTTTAGTTTTGTAAGTCTTTCCCACACTGTCGTGGTTCGGCTTGAAGCGCCGTCGTCTTTTACTGGATTGCGTCAGTACAGTCTTGCACTACAGCGCCACACTGGTCAAACCGCGTTACTGCAGGTCCTTACTTTACATCATATGAGACGATTCAAATATTTGTCAACATTTTTTATTGTCGATGACGTCGGCTAATCGTTCATAACCTCTCTGTCTCTTTTCAGGTCCTTTCACGAGACCCCATCCAGCAATATGGCGGATAGTGTTCGGTGAGTGGATCAGACGCTTGTTTTTGAAGCCTAATAATAAACATGAATAGAGGATGAAAGGGCAGGTCTGAGTGGTTGGGTTTGTAGGTTGGCGTGCTTCCTCTTTCTGAAGGGTGTGTTTGTGTGGTTGTGCAGGATTGAGTGTGCTGTACTTCCTCTTCCTGGTTTTCATCATCTTCCTGAACTGGGAGCAGGTCAAGTCTCTCATGTTCTGGCTGGATCCCAATCTGCGCTACGCCAAACGGGAAGCCGACATCATGGTCAGTGGCGACCCAGTTCTGTTATTAAAGGAACAGCTCACGAATGCATTATGTTCAAAAATATTCACAAATCAGGTTTATATATTTTATTAGTAAAACTAAAACCATAAAAAAAATTGCGACTTGACATAAAGTAAACATGAACTGAAATACAAAAATTTTACTTATTTTATTTCAACTAGTTGCCAAGGAAACCTTTCTCAATTTAATTTAACTTAACTTGATATACTAAAATAACTGTATAATATTTTAGATATAAATAAATAAATAAATAAATTATAAATAAAAGACATATTAAAAAAAAATTATTGAAGCTTAAATAAAAATGATTTGTCAATGCATTTTTTTATTTAAAAATTATTTAATTAAATTAAAATTTATTGTTGAATAAGGTTTATGAATTTAAATAATTAGACATGTTCTTTGATTATTAGAATTAAGTCAAACCATTAAAATATATCAGTAATAAGGCACATTTTAGAAAAATAATTTAAGATGCAGGATGAATAATAAAAAAAAAACACATTTCATTGGGTCCTATTGTTGAAAATTTTATAAAATATTTTTTACAATTTAATATTTAAAAAAATACTAATAAAATATTTTTATAATTTAATATTTAAAATAATAATAATAATTTAATAAAATACATGCTTTTTCAAATTAAATCAATTTATTTGATTTTTAAAATTAAATACAGAATCCAGTAAAATTAAAATATGGAATGAATTTAGAAAAAATCATTTAAGATGGAGGACACATTTGAGAACATAAAAAAATATTAAATTAAATGATTTTTGATTATTAAAATTGAATTAAAACGGTATCCAGAATTAAAAAAAATAAATAAATAAATAAAATTTAAATGGTGGACAGATTGAGAACATAAAACTTTTAACTTATTTTATTTCAGCAAGTTGTCAAGGCATCATTTCTCATTCTCATTTAGTTTATCTTGATGTGTTAAAATGACCTAAACTAAAACTGAAATAAAAATTAATAAGTACGATATTGACATATGAAAAAATAAGAAAAATTTAAATTAAAATTAAAACAGAAAATATAAAAATACTATAATAAAAACTATACTAGTATCTCAATGATACTAAAATAACACTGTCACGAATCAACGGATGCACTGCATTCAGTTTAATATAGTTACACCCACAATAGCAACTTTAGCGTGTGCTAAATAATAAATTAAATGCTTTTTGATTAAAGGGGTCATATGATGCGATTTCAATTTTTCCTTTCTCTTTGGAGTGTTACAAGCTCTTGGTGCATAAAGAAGATCTGTAAAGTTGCAAAAACTAAAGTCTCAAATCCAAAGAGATATTCTTTATAAAAGTTAAGAGTCAGCCACACCTACCTAAAACAGCTCGTTCTAACACGCCCCCACATACCTACGTCACGATCTGGGAAGATTTGCATAACGCCGCCCAAATGTTCACGCAAAGAAAGAAGGCGTAACTTTTATTCTCCGCTGTATTATTCTTGTTGCCGCTGCCATGTCGTGAAGGCGCTGTGTGTTTCGCTGTGAAAGCGAAACTACTTTGTTTGGCCTTCCAAAAGAGGACAATATCAAGGAGGGGGCTTTGTAGAAAACGAAGCGTTTGAGAGAGGCGGGGCATAGAGGACCTACAATAATGTACAGTATTTGAAAAATAATGTGTTTTTTGAACATTAAAGCATGTCAACATATTCTGTTACACCAAATACACAAAATAATGATCTTTAAAAAAGCATCATATGACCCCTTTAAATAATCAAAAAGCATGAACTGATTTTAGCTGGAAAATTGTCTCTTTGTTATTGTCCACTGTACAGCTGCTTTGACACGATCAGTATTGTATAAAGCGCTGTATAAATAAAGGTGGCTTGACTTAAACAGTCACTGCGGTGATGATTGACAGGAGTATGCCGTGTATACTGGAGGCCATCAGATTTTAGTGAAAATCATCCAAATCGCTGGCGGTGGCTGGCAACTTTTTTCAAAAATGCTGGCGGGGAAAGAGTTAAAGTTTACTGAATCTAGAAAAATTAAAACAGAAATCATGGAATTTGGGAAGAAGTGAATTGTATTTAATAGGGTGATTTCATTCATTTTTAATGAGAGTGACCTATATGTAATTAATGCAATAATCGCTCGCAATTTAGTTTTGGTTCAAAACCTAGTTAGTTTAGCAATCCCAGAATACACTGTGGAAAAACAAAACCATAATTAAAAATGGAGGACGAAGTTTTTTTTTTACATATTGAGTCTGTCTCTAAATTATATACTGAGAAATATTAATAAATATATTTAATCAAATACCAGTTTATCAGTGTTTCTCATTTCGTCTTTTAATTTTTTTTGCGTCTTTCTCAAAATTATATATATTTTAATTTAATTTAATTTTGTCTCCAAATTACATGGAGAGAAATATTGATAAATAAAATCAAATACCAATTTATCAATATTTCTCACTTAAACTTTTAATTTTTTTAGTCTTTCTCAAAATTATATATTATATATTTTTTATTTTATATTTTATTTTATCTCCAAATTACATGGTGAGAAATATTGATCACTATAATCAAATACCAATATATCAATATTTCTCACTTGGTCCTTCATCATCATCATCATCATTTTTTTTTAATCTGTCTCCAAATTATATAGTTATAAATATAATTAATTAGGTAACACTTTGCAATAAGTTTCCATTTGTTAACATTAGTTAACTACATTAGTTAACATGAACCAACAATGAAAAATACTTCTAAAGCATTTATTAATCTTAATGTTAATTTCAACATTTACTAAATAAATGATTAAAATCAAAAGCTGTTTATATTTTTTAATGGACAGTTAACAATGTTAACAGAGATGAATAAATACTGTAACACATGTACTGCTCATTGCTAGTTAATGTTAGTTAGTGCGTTGACTATCATCAATAGAACCTTATTATAAATTGTTACTATTAATTAAATGACAGGTAATATATTTTATTAATCCAAATATTAATTATAATTAATCCAATTAATTAAATACCACAATATAAAACTGCTTAAGCTAACAGTTTCAGTCTTTATTAGTCAGTGATTTGTTTTATTGTCAGCATCGAAGATAACTAGTTTAACCAGCTTTAACTAGTTCAGAAGTGTGGGTCACATGAGTTCTCCTGAGAGACCGAAGCTCCGCCCCCGAGCTGTTTCCACGGCGATGAAAGCCCTCTCTTCATTCTCTATTGTGTGAGAGGAGGCCGGTCTCTTCTCTTCGCTCCCGGCTGAGGGCCCTTTAAAGTGTGATTAAATGTCTTTGAGATGGGAATCGGAGGATTTTAAGTAGGTCAGGTTATAAAAACAGAACGACAGAATATAATACTTGTATGATGTGCAAAATATGAAGGTTTTATATCAGATTTTCTGAATCTCAGCTGCTTATGGTTGCAAAATGTGAACTATATTATTTGATAAATGCAACTGTAAGGCTAGAAGATATTAATATAATAATATGTTATGCTGTAAATTAAAATAAACTATATGAAATAATATAAACATCATGATTCTCTGGAGATCTGTGTACTGTAAAAACCTCTGTACAAATGAAATTTGTAGGTGTAAATATTTAAGGTTTAAATAATTTCAAAAACATTTTTGTTACTTGGAATAAAAGAATTGTTAACTTCATTTAAAATT